GGGTCATAATTCAAAATGATCTGGACAAATTGGAGAAATAGTCTGAGGTAAATAGGATGAAGTTTAATAAAGACAAATGCAAAGTGCTCCACTTAGGAAGGAACAATCAGTTTCACACATACAGAATGGGAAGCGACTGTCTAGGAAGGAATATGGCAGAAAGGGATCTACGGGTTATAGTGGACCACATGCCAAATACGAGTCAGTAGTGTGATGCTGTTTGATGAGAAATTTTGAGTTCTAGTTGTTAAGAGATCTTAAGTCCTTCCTCCTGGTCCCCTCCTTTAACCATCCGTTGTGTCAGTCTATTGCAGGGGTGGCCAACCCATTCTGGGCAAAGAGCCAAGAGAGCAGTGGATCCAGTGCAAGGAGTTGGGGCAAAGTTGTGGAGCAAAAAAAAAAAAAGGACTTCCCATTTTGCCCCTTTAAAAGAATCCCCCGGTCGTGTTTGGTTGAGCAAACTTTGGTTGCCCCTTTAAGAAACTGACCAGGTCAGCATAGGGAGCAGGGAGGAGAGGGCCATTTTTGGCGGTGCAGGGGCAGCTTTTGAGCCACTGGGGGGCTTCACGAACTGCACCCGGGGAGGGGGGGAGCCGCATGCGGCTTGCGAGCCTCAGGTTGGCTACCCGTGGTCTATGGGTATCACAGACAATCAGTGAGAGAGGGAGGAACAGAATCCAAAAAATTCTTTCTCTCCAAACATCACTTCCCTGATCTGTGTGGCCCGAGAAGGGAAAACAGAGATTCTGAGTATAGAAAGAATAAAAATGTTAATAAAGTCAAATGACTGCAGACTGTGGTTCCTAATTTTTTAATCTCTGTGGGGTAAGTATTGATTTGTGCTATGTGTATGTACAGAGCCTAGCTCAGCGGGCCCAGACCTCAACTCCAATAACCTCAGGTCCAATAAAAATAATATGAGCACTGGCATGTGGAAGATACGACTGGTAGCTCCCAGGGAGGCTTGGCAGAATGAGCTTTTAGGTAAATTAAATAAATTGGTCTCAATGTGGACCCTTGGGGGACACCACTAGTTACCTCTCTTTATTCCGAAAATGTACCATTTATTCCTACCCTTTGTTTCCTGTCTTTAACCAGTTATTAATCCATGAGAGGATCTTCCCTTTTATTCCATGATAATTTACTTTACTCAAGAGCCTTTGGTGGGGAACTTTGTCAAAGGCATTCTGGAAATCTAAGTACACTATATCTACTGGATCCCCCTTGTCCATATGTTTGTTGATCTCCTCAAAAGAACTCTAGAAGATTAGTAAAGCATAATTTCCCTTTACAGGACCCATGTTGACTTTCCCCAACAAATTATGTTCTTCTGTGTTTCTGACAATTTTATTCTTTACTATACTTTCAACTAATTTACCCGGTACTGACATTACCGGTCTGTAATTGCCAGGATCACTTATAGAGCCCTTTTTAAATATTGGCATCACATTAGCTATCTTCCAGTCAGTAGATACAGAAGCTGGCTTAAAGGATAGGTTACAAACTACAGTTAATAGTTCTTCAATTTCACATCTGAGTTTTCAGAACTCTTGGGGAATGCCATCTGGTCCCAGTGACTTGTTACTGTTAAATTTATCAATTTGTTCCAAAACCTCCTTTAATTTCACCTCAATCTGGGACAATTCCTCATATTTGTCAACTAAAAAGAATGGCTCAGGTTTGGGAATCTCCCTAGTATCCACAGCTATGAAGACTGAAGCAAAGAATTAATTTAGTTTCTCTGCCATGACCTTATTGTCTGTGAATGCTCCATTGGCATCTCAATTGTCCAGGGGCCCCACTGGTTGTTTACCCGGCTTCCTGCTTCTGGTGTACTTAAAAATAATTTTGCTATTACTTTTTGAGTTTTTGGCTAGTTGTTCTTCTAACTCCTTTTTGGCTTTTCTTATTATATTTTTACACTTAATTTGACAGAATTTATGCTCCTTTCTATTTTCCTCACAGGATTTAACTTCCCCTTTTTAAATTATGCCTTTTTATCTCTCACTGCTTCTTTTACTTCTTGTTAAGCCATGGTGGCACTTTTTTGGTTCTCTTATTGTTTTTTAATTTGGAGTATACGTTTAAGTTGGACAACTATTACAGTGTCTTTGAAAAGTTTCCATGCAGCTTGCAGGGATTTTACTTTTGTCACTGTACCTTTTAATTTCTGTTCAACTAATTTCCTCATTTTTGTGTAGTTCCCCTTTCTGAAATTAAATGCCACAGTGTTGGGCTGCTGAGGTGTTTTTCCCACCACAGGGATGTTAAATTGTAGTACATTATGGTCACTATTTCCAAGCAGTCCAGTTATATTTACCCCTTAGACCAGATTCTGTACTCCATTTAGGATTAAAACAAGAATTGCCTCTACCCTTGTTAGTTCCAGAGCCTGCTGCTCCAAGAAGCAGTCATTTATAGTATCAATAAATTTTATCTCTGCATTCCATCCTGAGGTGACGTGTACCCAGTCAACATGGGGATAGTTGAAGTCCCTCATTTATATTGAGGTTTTTTTTAAAAAAATTTTGATAGCCTCTCTAATCTCCCTTAGCATTTCAAAGTCACTATCTCTATCCTGGTCATGTGATTGATAATAGGGATACCTACTGGTATATTCTTATTTTCAGAGCATGGAATTACTACCCATAGAATCTCTATGGTACATTTTGGTTCATTTAAGAAATTATTTTGAAAATTCCTGCTATTTAATGCAATTTGGTCCATTCCAAAAGCTCTTCAGGTGTATTTTTATGATCTCAAGAGTTATGTCTCTGGTAGTGATGATTTAGAAGTTCCTAAGAACCTAGGACATCACCCCCAAAACTAGTTAAGAAATTTAACAAGGGTTCTTGAGATTTCCTCCTCTAGGATATCACTGCTCCGTACATATTCCCTATGTGTATGCTACCTTACAATACATGTTTGTTTCTTTTAGAAGATAAAGGGAAAGCAAAAAGCAGTGGTGCTAATCAACCTTCAAATACTGAAGTGGGCCTGATCCTTCCCAAACCTGGAGCTATAACATTAGCACCTATAACATCTACATCATCCTCTAAGAGCACAAATGGAGTGACTATCACAGTCACTGAATCAGAAGAGGAGAAAGCCAAAAAACTACTTTACTGTTCACTATGCAAAGTGGCTGTGAACTCCCTATCACAGCTAGAAGCTCATAACACAGGTGAGTTCATGTACAACATTCATGTGACTACATGCTCTTAAAAAAATGGAGTTAGTCCTTTATAATCTTGAAAACAAAAGCTTTGAAATACCTATTTTTAAAGATATCCTTTACACAATCCCCCGTTGTCAAGACTAGTGATTTCTCCAAACTCTCTACAGCCCAGGATACATAACTACTTTGCCCTAACTCCAGAGGTGCTTCCTATTCACATGAAGTTTTCAACATCATTGTAAATTTGGTACTGCTTCAAGTTCTAATATGTAATAGATTTATTCTTATCATGACTAGCTATCTGCTGTTGTGGTAAAATATAATTTTTATGTATTATCTTGAGGATGCATATTTTAGGTGTGATGTTATGAAGGCTTGGAATCATAGAATCGGGAAGGACCTTGAAAGGACATCAAGTCCAGTCCCCTGCTCTCACAGCAGCTCCAAACACTATCTAGAGCATCCCTAATAGATGTCTATCAAATCTGCTCTTAAATATTTCCCGTGATGGAGATTCCACAACCTCCCTAGGCAATTTGTTTCACTGGTTAACCACCATGATAGTTAGGAAGTTCAACCTAAACCTCCCTTGCTGCAATTTAAGCCCATTGCTCCGTGCCCTATCATCACAGGTCAAGAACAATTTTTCTCTCTTCTCCTTGTAACACCCTTTTAGGTACTAGAAAACTGCTATCATGTACCTCCCAGTCCTACCTTTTCCAAACAAACCCTATTCTTTCAGTCTTTGAGACTTCAGTCCTTGAGTCCAGATGCTTATAAAGTACATGTTGCCTTTAAATCTGCCCTTCCTCACATCAAGAGAAGTATTAAAGGAAGGGGTTTGGGGACTTGTAGATCTTTTGAGAAAGGCAGGGAGATCTATCCTCCTCCTTCTCACATAAAATTGGATGTACAGAAACATACTCCAAAAGACTTTTGTGGGACAGCTTTTGCTTGGAATCCTCTCTCCTGGACTGCAGGACTCAGGAGGGTCAGAACCCCAACAATTACATCAATTCCAAAGCCATACCTCATTTAGACCAGGATTTCTTGTGGCTCCTCATTCTTCATGGATTCCTACAGGTGAAATCCTGGCCCCATTGAAGTCAATGGCAAACGTTTCATTGAGTGAGAGGAACCATTCTCCTCACACTGCAATAAAGGCAACACAATTAACTTCCATCCATATTCCTTTGGTTTACAGATCATGGGGTCTCTGACTCCTCTACCAAGGAGCTACTGAATAGGAAGAAGTAGTTAGTGCTGCTTTAAACAAGATTAACCAATCCCTGTTTATATACAGATTTTAGTATCCTCCTCGGCCACACCCCTTTATTCCCACATGACTAATATATGTACAAACCCTCTAACTTCTTTTATGGTTGGCCCTCTGTACTGTGCAATAGTGAAATGTGTAGTGTAGTAATTAAAGTCAAGATAATGCATAATCTAAATACATGTGGAATATGTAACCATTTTATTTCCTAAACAATCATTTCATGGTATAGAAAATCTAAAAAGTGACGGAAACTGAAGCAATGCTCTAAAATTAGTTTAACATGATTTGCTGTTAATCCTTATGCATCAAATTGTTCATTAGGTTCCAAACACAAGACAATGGTGGAAGCTCGGAATGGTGCAGGTCCAATTAAGTCTTATCCTAGGCTTGGATCCAGGCTGAAGATTCAGAATGGCAGTAAGGGCTCAGGACTGCAGAACAAGACATTTCATTGTGAAATCTGTGATGTCCATGTCAATTCAGAAATTCAGCTTAAACAGGTACCTTCAATAGCTCACAAGTTTTTGCCTGAGTGCTAGTAACTTTGTGCCCTTGCAGCTTGGATCACAGGATGCTCTCTCTTTGATTTAATTTCTAGTTCTTTATGTGATGTATCCAAACTGTTGGGCTTTATTTAGCAAGACACAACTGTTAGATCATTGCTGCATCCCTTAAGCCTTATTTGTTTCACAGTATTTTCCACAGGGGACTTGATACATCCAGCTGCAAAATCAATTTAAAAAAGAATAAAACTATGAGACCTCTGACTGCTTCTTAAGTGTGCTTTTTTTATTATTTCAGCACATTTCCAGCAGAAGGCACAAGGACAGAGTGGCAGGGAAGCCTATGAAACCTAAATATAGCCCTTACAACAAACTTCAACGCAGTCCAAGTATTTTAGCCGTGAGTACTGTTACTGTGCATCACTACTGTATATGTGAGTTTGACCTTGAGTCTCCCACTGCAAGGAGACTAGGAGTATGACAGGGGTGGAAAGCTTGTGAGTTTCTCCCCCTGCAGGTTGAATCTGTTTTATCAGCAAGTTTGAAGATGGTTATGTATTCTGTGTGCCCAGTCAAAGGCAAAATAGTACCCCAGAGTTATTTACTGCTAGAAGGGTGGGAATGAACAGTGGGATGTGGAATGGAATGTGTGTCTACAGGAAAGGTGAGAATTCTTCTGTTTTTAGTGCACTTCCTCTATTTAAAGGCTGGAAAGGGTGCACGCTATCTGGGCTTTTAAGAAAACATGCTGTTACGAGAGAGAGAGCATGGGGGGAGAGTGCTTTAAGGTATAAAGCTAAAAACATTTTGACTTATCTCTGAAACAGTAAAGTAAAGTGTGAGCTGTATTAGGCTGCTTTGGAAGAGTTGTAAGGAGTTTAGGAGCATTAATTGCCTATCACTTAGGTATTTATCCCATTTTTATTACAAGGATACTAGATCACCATTTCCTGTCTTGGTCCCCAAAATCTTAAGCCCCGAATATTCTCTTTCTTCACTTTGGGCTCCTCCCCACCAGAATCCTTCATAAGAACCCCTTGCTGCTCACAGCTCAGCCTGACTTCAGCTCAGGAAGATTTGCATGTCCCTAGTTAAGTCACCCTGCAATGGTCACTGTACTGGATTCATTAGAGGGCAAATGTGCACAACCCATACAACAAAAGTGCTTTTATATTTTAGAACTAAAAAGTTGCAAATATTCATGTCCAAAATTGAGACAATCCCCCAAAAGCATATGAAACCCATTCAGAAGCTGGTATATTGAAGTTTTTTGTGTAATCATGTAATCAAATGAAAATGCTTGAGGATTTTTCTGTTGCTCCCCAACTCACTAGCTTTGGGTTATACTAATCGGCTGTGTCTACACTGGCCACATAACCCGTAATAGCTATGGAAATGAGAGAAGTCAGAATAGGGAAATGCGCGGGGGATTTAAATATCCCCCGCGGGATTAAAATAAATATGGCCGCCGCTTTTTTCCGGCTTGGGGAAAAGCCGGAAAAGAGCGTCCAGACTGGCGCGATCCTCCGGAATAAAGCCCTATTCCGGAGGATCTCTTATTCCTACTTGCAAGTAGGAATAAGAGATCCTCCGGAATAGGGCTTTATTCCGGAGGATCGCGCCAGTCTGGACGCTCTTTTCCGGCTTTTCCCCAAGCCGGAAAAAAGCGGCGGCCATGTTTATTTTAATCCCGCGGGGGATATTTAAATCCCCCGCGCATTTCCCTATTCTGACTTCTCTCATTTCCATAGCTATTACGGGTTATGTGGCCAGTGTAGACACAGCCATCTTGTTCATTTCTGTAAAGCACTATATATTTTTATCTCTTGGATTTAAGACCTACAGTATTAGAGCCAGGATGTAAGTATCTTTTCTTCCACCCATAAATACTTAACCTTGCAACTCAGCAACCCACAAATGGAGGTATACTATATATATTTCATGGATAAGTTTTGGGTCCCATAAATTTTTAACCTTGAAACATAGCAACCCACAAGTGGAGTTATATATTTTATGGGTCATTTTCCAAGACCTATACCAGATATGTTAAAGATCTCAAATCGAGCTCTCTTTTATTAAAAACGATTTTTTTAAATTTAATGTTGGAGACTAGAAAGTGTGCTGAAAGGAACAAGTTTACATTAGCTGAGAGAGAACTAGATCAACTGATGGGTGCATCCCATCTCTAACTTCTGCATTTTTCTACAGCTTATAAGTGACAAGAAATGAGGAAAAGGCATCTTTCTATTTTGTAGAGTCCTGTCAGTCATGGTCTTGATTTTTTTACTTTTGAGTTTCATTGTGATGATTTATATAATTTAAGAATACTCGCTCTTGTAAAATACCCCCACTCAGCCCCACTCCCATCCTGGAGCACCCACATCTACTTCCCATGGATTTGTCTGTACTTAAATGCACAGTTCAGTTGTTTAAATTGTCCTGTGTGTCAGAAGGCAGTGTGGATACAATTTTCAAAATTGCTGAGACTAGGTTTTCCATTTAGTGGGTGTCATTTGCACCTGCACTTTTACTCCAGCAAAATTAATTGCAGGTGCATATTAGAGTACTTGTACTTTGCTGATTGGCACCGGTAGTCAAGCAGTTAACATTACAAGTGCCAAAAATATTTGCAGTTGAACATTTGGTCTAATATCTCCTCGGTAAAGCAATCTCTGTCAATTTAGATTTTTGGCTACAAGTAGACATCTCAGGCAGCAACTTCCAGAAATGGTTAAAATTGGGGAAAAGGAAATAATTATAAATCGGGTGTGAAGTACTTAAGAAGCAATTGTAAACAGCTTTTATTCCTGCTATCTAGAAAGATAAAAAGCTTAAAAGCTTAATGAACACTTTGCCAGGGTTAATGTTTTTACTCATTGTAAAAATGGTGGAAGGAACAGTATTTACATTTCTTTTTTTCTTTTCTTTTTTTTTTCAGGCAAAACTTGCATTCCAAAAAGATATGATTAAGCCCCTAGCACCTGCTTTCCTTTCATCTTCTCTTGCTGCGGCTGCAGCTGTGTCATCTGCTCTGTCCCTCCCTCCCCGTCCTTCTGCCTCTTTGTTCCAGGCACCTGCAATCCCACCAGCTCTCCTAAGGCCAGGCCATGGTCCCATACGTGCGACTCCGGCATCTATCCTTTTTGCACCATACTAATTTTGTAGTGATAATAAGATAACTATGGCCAGTAGAAAGGGGGAAAAGGAAGCAAAGCAAGCAAGGATTTGATATTTTAAAATGTCTTTTTCTTTTATAATGCCATGCAGTGTGACACCCCAGCAGTCCAAGTCACAGAATTTTTCATGGACAGGTACTGTAATCTAGAAGCCTAGACAACATCTCTCTTGCTTTTTTAATTCAACTAATTTGTCTGAGATTGGTTTACCAAAAGCTTTATGGCTCATAAAACGATAGCATCAAGATTTGTGAATCTGTCTGTTGGCTGGGAGGGAGGTTAATATGTATATGATGTACCTTGGAAACAAGGAACACAAAATATTTCCTGAATGACTTGAAAATTAGGGTCTTCCTCACTCACACATATGTAAATAGGTCTCTGGAATCCAACTGGGTACATTCTAGTGTGAAAAAGGTAGATTAACCAAGTGCTTAATTGTGAATAACATCTTAATAACTGATTGCATCCTTTACTTTTCAGTGTGGTCTTGTTGACAGGAATTGTGTACTGTTTTAGACCTCAGTACTGGTGTTCTTGTGTAGTACTAGAGATGTATTGCCTTTCTGATTTAGACATTTTTAGTTGCTGTGCAAATGTTTGGAAGCAATGCAGCTTTGAAGCTTTTTTTAATTAACGAATTTCTCTTGTTTCACATTTTATTTAGAAAGATTAAAAATAGAAAGCCATATAACATATAGTTAAGATTAGTACTTGTTTACTATTTTCATTTTAACTTATTTTGTAGTTTCCTCACTGGTGTTGCTAAGCAATGTTTAACATTAAAAAAAAAAAAAAAGCTTTTTAATTGCACATTACCACAGCTCACAAGCATTGTTCAAGAAGACAATGGGCCATGTATTTATACATAAATATCCTTTTTCTTCATTTCTAAACTAGTTTCCTTTGTAACAATGCTGCATAATGTTGTGGCTCCCTAATGCAATAATGTACAGAACATAACAATATTTATAATTGACTGACTGTCTTTTCTGTTTACTGACTAGATTGAAGTTCTGCCCTCCCTTGTCTCCTATCCCTACCCCCTTTTATAAAGGTAATATCAATATGCAGTACTCAGACTGAAATCCTTATGTGATGTTGGGGGCAATAGTATAATAAAGGAATAAAATAGTTAACTCTTTTAGAACATCTTTATCTGCAGTCCGTAAATAGTAAAATGTCTGTGTATTTTTTTAAATGTATCTTTTCAATAAAATATTATGAAAAATATAAACATGTCTTGTGTTTTTTAATGAGAAAAAACATGCACCGAACAAATACATCAGCTAAGGACGTGACTTTTAACCATTTCAGACCACTGTACCCTTTCAGGGACCTAAATTGTCTTGCATACTCCAAGTTTCAACTCACTTAAAAACTACTTGCTTATAAAATCAGACATAAAAAATAAGTGTCACAACTCACTATTACAAAAAAAAGTTTACTTTCTCATTTTACCATATAATTATAAAATAAATGATTAAAATATAAATATTATGCTTCAGTGTTTAGCATATATAGCACTATGAACAAGTTGTCTGTATGAAATTTTAGTTTGCACTGACTTTGTGAGTGCTTTTTATGTAGCTTGTTGTAAAACTAGGCAAATGTCTAGATGAGTTGATGTACTCCTGGAAGAGTTCTGTGTACCTCAGGGGTATGTATACCCCAGTTGAGTACCGCTTAGCTAAGGGAATATCTAATCCACTAGACAGCAGTATCCTAATATACAACTATAGTACCCGTGCTAATTTCCTAAACAACATCTTAATTTCATTTCTCCCCTGCATTTTAAACAGGACTTTTGTTGATGGTTTCAATAGCTCATCCTAATACATTCAAACTTTTGGCATACTCAAGGAAAAACTGCTAACCCAGATGAATGTATTAAATCAGAAAAGAAACACCACACCAGTATGCTACCAAATACCCATGTATGGATTATCATTAAAATGAAATTGATTGTAGTTTACTGGAAACAGTATTTTGAAAACATGTATTCTATATAAATAGAAAAAACCTTAATTGTGAACCAGTCCGGGTTACAAAACATGTCTAACACAAATCATAAAAGCAAGCTACTGAAAATTTAAGCCTTCTTTACAGAACATGCCCTCTACTCTTCTTCTTGCAAGTATACATCTTATTATTACAACTACAATACTCCACAGACCATATTTCATTACCTTAACTCTGCCCCCTTTTAACTCTTCTGCTCACACCCTTAAATTTATAATTTCTGCACCTCCCTCTCCCCACTCACTATGGATATTTGGTGTAGTTCATGGTTGGTTGTGTTATGAGAGGCTAGTTTGATAGGATTATATGCAGAGGGCCAGTTAAAGGGAATGATAAAAGGCTGACAGCCCTAAGGGGGCAGAGTTAAGGTTGTAGAACATGGTCTGCAGTATGCATACACATACTCACTGTGTGTGCACATGTGCAAAAATGTGAATTTCTATGTACTGTGTGATAATCCTATTGAGAAAAAGGTTTGCAGTGTACAGACAACATGATTTCATGCACACTTGTTTGGGTCTGATGCTGTAACTCTTATTCATATTGAATAAGATTTAGTTACCCAAATAATCTCAATGGTGTACTTGCATGAAGGAGTATTACTCCACAATGAGTTAGTTCTCCTGAATCAGACCTTTAGCTGATTGTGTGGGAAATGCAGTGTTCTTTGGATTTAATCATAGATTCCTGTTGCCACCTCAAAGCACTGCTTTGGGGTGAGGGCATTATTTATTGTTCAGGTATGATTGTGTGAATAGGGCTCTAAATTAAATAGCTTCTATTTAATGCAATACCTATAGGAGGTATATATAACCCTTAACCATTGCTATCAAATAACAATTTCATAGACAATTGACTGTTTTAAAATGAGGGGTTTTTCCCCAAAAGCATCCTAGGTAGAAGAAATATTATATAAGGTATCAGAGGAGTAGCCAAGTTAGTCTGTAACATTAGATATCCGAAAAGGCAACATACAAAAACCTGTTGGAGAACACTTTAATCTTCCTGGATACTCATTAATGGATCTCCAAGTCTTATTTCAGACCAATTCCACAAGCCAAATTCACAGAGAAGAGTTGGAACTTAACTTCATTCAGCAGTTTAATTCTTGTGCAAATGGTATGAATTGGGATATCAGATGGCTCGCACATTATCAACCAACCAAAAAATGAAGGTGCTAATGGTTCTTGATGTTTGTGTAGAATATGGTATTGGTCATCTTCCTTTCCAAGTGCAAACTAATGGTCTTATCAGCCTCTTGTAACTATTTAGTCTTTAAGGTGCTAGTAGACAATTTCTTGTTTTTTAAGTATTTCCTGTTACAGACTAACTTGGCTATCCTCCTGAAGCTTATCTACTCAGTGTCTCATTTTTTCTTCCTCCCCTCCATTTTTTTCCTTCTTCCCCTTTCCCCTTCCCTCCTTCCCTTATTTATTCTTGGATCTGGACTTCAAACACTCCTGTCATCTGAAGAAGCAGGTTGTGCCCATGAAAGCTCATGATACCATCTACATATTTTGTTAGTTTTTAAGGTGCTACTAGACTATTTGTTGTTTAAGTTTTTCCTATATAAGGTATGTCATGCACCGTGAAAGAATGTGTAATTTCATCCATAAATGAATGAAATCACTTAGCCCTTAGAGTCCAAAAGGGCTCAAACAATTTTTGAGCTAAGAAACTAACTCTCACATAGGAATTCCATGTCAGAACTCATTGTGAGTTTTCCTCTGTTTATGTACTCTATGTATTCCACTTTCAACTAAAGTCAAATCCATGCACACAAGGGACTGAATGTTTGAGGTAATATTTGCATGATAAATTGTAAACACTTCCCTCAAGGCTGCTAATATTTTGCATTTATAACCAAGCTCTCCATAACAGAGATCTGATGTATCCATCTAGAATAGAACAACATTGAGTTTTATCAGTTGACTTGGATTTTCCTGGATCATCTCTCAGGAGATGTAATTTCATTACATTATTTAAAGTGAAAGGGACAGATTCTTTCCTATTCCAGGGCTCTGATCAGTGCAGGACATGGGAAGGAGGGGCCAGGCACCAATTCTGAGGTCCCAGCCCCAGTGCTGCTTAGAGTTGTGCTAGATACATTGGTGGCACAATTTAAAGGTAAGATGTTTCATGTATCTGATGCCAAGAGAGAATTTTAGAAGGGCTTCATCACACCTTCTACACTGGAAGGAATACAGGGGCTGGATATTTGTATCCAGATTACAGTCTCTTAATGACATTTGATTAGCATAATGGGGCTGGGCCATAACCTAGTTAGAGGATCTAATCCATAGTTTTTCAGCACAGATGATAGAAATGTGATCCTTTTTGACCACTAGAGGGGGCCATTTTATCTTCCTTTACTACAGATGGGAATTTGAATTTGAATTTTTTCTTCTGATTTTGGTAGGTGGGAGGGATCGGGGCTGGATTAGCTCTTCTGGGAGCCTGGGGCTATTAGATTTTTGTGGGAGTGCCTAAGCTCCAGGGTGGAGCCAAAAATGTGTGGAGGAGGGTCTGCAGGTTGAGGTAGGAAGGTGGGTATGGTAGAGGTGAGAGCTCTGATTGGGGATGTGGGCTCTGGGGAAGGGCTGGAAATGAGGTATGCGGGGTGCAGAACGGGTCTCCAAGCTGGGACCAAGAGGTTTGGAGAACAGGAGCAGGTTCAGGCCAGGAGGCTGGGGCAGAGGCAGGGTCAGAGAGGGAGTGAGGATGCAAGAGGAGCTCTAGATTGGGGTATGGGATCTAGGAAAGAGAAAGGAACTTTTAATGTAGGAGGGGTCTCAGGACCAGGGCAGGGGGTTGTAGTGCAGGGCACTTACTTGGAGCAGCTCCTGTTTGGTGGCGAGCACTGGTGGCTCCATGCTGCCCCCAGTCACCTGAAAGTATTGCCCTTCTGCAGCTTCCATTGGCCATCGTTCCCCGGGGATGGGGTGGAGCCTCCAGGCCAGGGCAATGCAGAGACAGAGCTTCCTGGTGATTATGGTGATGCAGCTCCAGCCCTGGAGGAGAAGGGTGGGGAACAGATGTGTGTGGCACTCCTCTTTGGCAGAGCTGGCCAGGAGCACAGGGTCTTTACTGGTGGCAGCTCAGAACCCCCAGCTAAGCCACCCACCCCTTAACCCAAGGCCCTGGAGAGCATCCCGTAAAGCCCCTTTCTTATCCTGGTTCTGCGAGGGAATAGTACTTTCTCCTGTTAATTTCATCCACTGTGGTTCCTGTCAGATGATGATATGCTGGGAATTGGTCTGTCGACTGATAAACTGAAGCTCATTAGACATTTGCCATGAGAGAGAGTTTAATTCTCATAAATAAATAGGAAGGGACACAGACAAGCTACCAGCCAGCATGTGGTTTCCTTTTCTCCCTTTCTTTGTGACCTACCATCCTCTAGAGTAATATGTTGCAATCTTGAGCCAGCAAAGATTTTACAAAGAGAAATCCCATCAAGCTTGTGTGCCGAAAGAGAAACCAAAGCTGTACTAAGTCAATGTTCAGTTTTAAGCTTTTGAAAGAGCAACCATAACATTTTGTTCAGTTACAAATATTGCAGAGTTACAAACACCTGAGAATGGAGATTGTAACTCTGAGATTCTACTGTACCCTCTTGAACAGTTGGTAAGTATGCTTATCAATTATCTTCTCATCTAAAAAGGTTCTCGTACCACACTCGTCACTGTCGTATCCACGTTCTTTCCATTAGTTAGTGCATTCAACAAAGTGACTAACATTTGTCACGTGCTCTTTTTCTCCTCTCTCCCAGGAGAGAAGCGTGTGCAGCAGAAGGTTTGGGAATTTGTGTACATATTTCTTCCATACACTATGTGCTGTCAGACTGAAAAGGGTAATGATATGCCCAGACTCGTGCTGACTGAATGGGGGATATAGCAAATGGCTGCAAAAAGCAGAGGATGAGTGCAAACTAGTGTGTGCAGACATATTAGCTGCAGCCTAACCAGGGACAAGAAAACATGTTGAATAACACAATTGTATGGCTGCTGTTTGGAAGGTAAAATGAAACAATTTACAGAGGAGCGTGTCTGCTAATTCAGCAGCAGGATTGCATACAGTAGGCACTGAGATTTGCCTCTCCAGAGAACTGGAACAAGGAATTGTATGGAAAAATCTATTTCATGTAAATGTGCTGTCA